CTTTACTTGTAAGTGTATTTTTACATAGTTGTACTGCTACTTTTATATCAGTAAAGGATCTGAGCACTTCTTCCACCACTGGGTGTAGATGTACCTTAAAGGAGGCCCGAGGTAACTGTGATTACTGGGAGAAGTCCAGTACTCTGGTAAGCCAGCCATGTTTGTCCCAACACCTCCTCCACTTTAGCTTTCTCCTTTTTATACAAGTTGTGTATCTTGGCTCCAGCGGTGGTTCATACAAGCAGTTTCTGGATGCGATGCAAACTATTTCAAGCAGCCCCTTGTCCTCCACAATGTTAATCGGCCTTCAAGCTGTAGCCACCCGTTTAGCTATTGCTGTTGAAAGTGTGTTGTTTGCAGAGCTGTCCAGGCTTCTCCACTGCAAACTATTCAGCGTGCTCTGCCTTTGGCGAGGGGGGAGGAGGAGGACTCTGCATCAGCTGGGTGTTTGGCCAACAAGGGGTATTTGAGACTTGATGTACTCTGGTGGTAACTCTGTTCACATCGACAGTAAACTCAAATAACTTTGGTCTTGTTGAGAAAACCGTCTGTCAAGACTTTGAAGCCGAACTTGCCATTCGAAAGACCCATTTCTCTATCTATTTCTGCTTAAGGAGGTTTGTTTCTGCTTGCCATCCACATTACCAGTGCATCACTTCCTGATTTCCTAAACTACGGGGCGGGCCAAGGGTCATAATGAGAGAATGCGCCTGTGTTGCGCGTCAAAAAATATGGTGGCGTTAAAAGGAGTTTATAACTCCTCTGATCAGGTGGAATTTGTCACTAATTTGTGAGTTCAACAATCACTCTAGGGTTCAGCCAGTTTAAGCTGTGACTGCATGATGCAGCTGTTTGTGTGTTTTAACACATCAGGGCAGTGGGAGGCAAATAATGATTACTTGATGTCACAGGTTCAAAGCTGAGGACCCAAATGCACACCTTAGAGTTAAAACACTGTAGCAAAGGTCCAAGTAGAAAGGCCAGAAACTCTACAGGCAAGCAGGGAGCAGACCTTTCATAACAAGCTACAGCTAGAGTAAAAAAAAAAACATGGGGGAACAGAAATATAACAACATGCTGGCATAGGCAGCCAAAAAGTCTCAGAAGAGAACATGGAAAGCTCAGTTACATTTCAGCAGCAAATCAGTCACTAGAGACCAGGATGACAGATATGGTTTGCAGCAGTTTGTGGGATCCTTAACTGATGGCCTAAAGTTGGAGGCAGAGATGAGTACACAGGAGCATAAGCTTGGTGTAGGATGAAGGTAAGACAGCCAGGACACAAATAACAAGGTGGGGAAGATGACCAGAGGAAAGCAATGAGCAACAGGTGAATGTCATTAAGGTTATTTATTCATAGTCAGAGTCAACCTAGGGCTAATGAGGAACGGTGTCAAAATAAAAGCATGAAACAGGAAATGGCCAGAGATTCTTGACATTTACAATACATGCAAGCTTTACAAAAAATAAAAATTAAAAATCTGTGGATATTCATGCTCCTTTGCATAAGAAACATTTCCATGACAGAACACCTTCATGTTCTTAAGATGATGAAACCTTGGACATGGATTTTTCTCTATTGCCACCCTCACAGTTTAAAGACAATTTAGAATTCAAATATATCATTAATCTTAAGTTAATATTCTTTACTCTTTGTTAACCAATGTGTAAAAATGAGTTGTGCATGGTTTTTACATGCCTGCTTGAGTGTGGGTGATACTCACAGTTACTGAGCTTTAGAGACGGGCTAGCTTCTTTCCTCTTTATGCTGAGCTATGCTACCTGTGCTATCTTATCTAACAGTTCACACCAAGCCAAATAAGATATTTATCTACTAATCTTATAGACACTTATAGAAACAGGCAAAGCAATAATCAGAGGATAAATAACAAGAACTTATAAATCACACAGACCTGATCAATTTCCAGCTGAGTTTCATAAACAGTACTGGCTTCATCAAAAATAGAAAGGTTTCACATAACA